CTGCTGGAAGACCGAGCCGTGGCTGCCGGTACGGATGGACACTGGGGAAGGGTACTGGATCACCAGGATGCCTAGTCCTCTCCTGGCTCTGCAGCATGTGCTCATGCCCTGTCCATCTCTCTGCACCAGGCACAGCCAGTGACCCAGGCATGGTCCGGATTGTCTGTGGGCACCACAACTGGATCGCCGTGGCTTACGCCCAGTTCCTCGTCTGCTACAGGTAAACGTGGGACCAGGGTCCTTCGCAGCCTTTATCTCCCTGTCTGTCCCTGGTCCTGTGTCCCCGCAGTGTGGTGCTCGTTCAGCCCTCAGCCCCGCTTTCCCCCTTGCTCCAGGATGAAGGAAACGTCAGGCTGGCAGCAAGTGTTCTCCAGCCCACGGCTGGACTGGGTGATCGAGCGCGTGGCCCTAAACGCCAAGGTGCTTGGCGGGTCCTTGGGTGACCACGACAAGATGGTGGCAGTGGCATCCTGTAGCGAGATCATCCTCTGGGCACTGCAGGCTGATGGCAACGGCAGTGAGATTGGTGAGCAACACAGGGGCTCCTGGACAGCCCTGTTCAGTTCTCTGGGCCTTCGTAGACCTCACCTCAACCAGGACCCCATTCTTGTGCCCCTAGGCCTGCACATTTAGGTGCTCAGTGTCCCTCAGAGGCTCAGTTAAAGAGCTGGGATGTGCGATTCATCCTCTGGGTCCCCTAGTACCTCCGCTAACCACTTCACACCTCTTCTTCTCTCCTAGGTGTCTTTGTTCTGGGGGTCCCTGTGGAGGCCCTCTTCTTTGTTGGGAACCAGCTCATTGCTACTAGCCACACGGGCAAGATCGGCGTCTGGAACGCTGTCACCAAGCACTGGCAGGTGAGCACGGGAGGCCCTGCAGGAGGGTCTGAGCTGGCTCTATGCTATCTCTCGGCTCCATGCTCTCTGCCCTCCTGCAGATTCAAGACGTCGTCCCCATCAACAGCTACGATGCCGCTGGCACCTTCCTGCTCCTTGGTTGTAACAACGGCTCCATCTACTACGTGGGTGAGTGCCAGAGAGGGCCTGTGGGCGCAAGCTCTAGCTCTGTCTAGTCCCGACTCCCAAACTGCCTGCACCAGGAAGGACTGGCTGAGACAGCACAGAGTGACAGTCTCTCCTTTCCCCAGATGTGCAGAAGTTTCCCCTGCGCATGAAGGACAACGACCTGCTGGTTACAGAGCTGTACCGTGACCCCTCAGAAGACGCTGTGACGGCCCTCAGTGTCTACCTCACACCCAAGAGCAGTAAGGGTTCCTCCTTCACACCTAGCCTTGCCTAGGGAGCTCCTCATCCCACCTCTGTGTGGTTCTGGTGTAGCCTCAGGCATGAACTCCCGATGTGGACAGTTAACCTGGGACTCTGCTCAAACAGGGCCTGGGTGCGCCCAGGTCCTCTGCCCCGGGGAGGGGTGTTGGGGAGAAACGAGGCGCTTGGGCTCTGCCATTCTTTGTGTCCACAGGTGACAGCGGGAACTGGATTGAGATTGCGTATGGCACCAGCTCGGGGGTTGTGCGGGTCATTGTGCAGCACCCCGAGACTGTGGGCTCTGGCCCCCAGCTCTTCCAGACCTTCACAGTGCACCGGAGCCCCGTCACCAAGATTATGCTGTCGGAGAAACACCTCATCTCTGGTAGGTGCTGGGAAAACTTGGAGATGAGGAGCTAGCAGGGAGCGGTGGGTCGTGAGTGAGGGGACGGGATGAAGCAGAGAGTGGCCCCTCTGCCGACCCCTTTCTCCCCTCCTGCCTCCTTCCAGTCTGTGCCGATAACAACCACGTGCGCACCTGGACGGTGACCCGGTTCCGCGGGATGATCTCCACGCAGCCCGGCTCTACCCCCCTGGCCTCCTTCAAAATCCTCTCCCTGGAGGATATCGATGGCCACGCAGGCTGCAGCGCTGGCACCGACATCGGTAGGGGTACTGGTGCCTGCCCTGTCACCTCTCCAAGGGACCTGGTCCGTAGCTGAGTGGGAGCAGCTTCTGGTCGCTGCATCCCAGCTGCACTCAGCTTGTGAGGTGGGTGCTGATGTGAGCTGTGCGCTGATGTGAGCTGTGCTGGCAGGGCCCTTTGGAGAGCGCGATGACCAGCAAGTTTTCATCCAGAAAGTGGTGCCAGATGCTTGCCAGGTGTTTGTGCGGCTTTCATCCACAGGCAAGAGGTGAGTAGAGCAGGGCTGGAGGGGCAATTGCCTTAGCAGTCCCCTGAGGTCTCTACAGTCGGTGTTGGCTTCTCCCCTGAGCATCAGTCTGGAGGAAGAAGTGAGCCTAGATCTGTCCCCCTTTCCATCCCTCTGAGAGCTGGGGGAGGACCCAGGTGTCCGGGCCTTCACCACTGCCAGATGCTGCTACTCTCCCGGCACCTGGCCGAGGCGCAGGCTGAGCTGAGCTGTGCCCACAGGATCTGCGAGGTGCGCTCCGTGGACGGCACAGCCATCACGGCCTTCATGGTGCACGAGTGCGAAGGCTCGAGCCGCATCGGCTCCCCCCCCCCCCGGTACCTCTTCACCGGCC